TAAGGCCCAAACCTCATACCAAATATAGCCAAAGATAAATATTTTTTCAGACTGTCTAACCTGCAGGTTTCCAGCTGATGGATTGTACAGACCATTGCAAGTTGTAGAAATGGCTTTATAAATGCTGAAAAAAAACTTTACCCAGACTAAAATGTACTTCAGGTAATACTGCTGATGTGCAGACATCTTATGATGAATGCAACTACATGTGTCTGTCCTCAGATTAATCTCCATGTCCTGTGGAGTCCCCTTGTTGCAAGCCCCAGCCAGTGCACAGGGCCACAATTTCTCTTAAAGTCAAGATTACACTCCTGCTCTTGAAGCTAATCCCCACTTCTATTATTCAACTATTGAATTGAAAATTCCAGTGAGCATTCGGGGACACAAGAATTGAACTTAAGACTAACATAGATAATTGCAGACAAAATAAAGTGCAGCAGTTATTTTGGGCAACTATAATGCCAGGTTGGGTTCACTTTCAGAATGCACTTTAACTATTTATTCAGATGTCTATGCAACAAATCTTGTAATATGGGTGGAACAAAGAGCACAGGTGTTTAAAGAAAAACCTATACTGAGAGAAGGTCATAATTACTGACCTCTCCTTATGAAAATGTCTGGCTATCATGCACTGGACATTGAGTCAGTGACTTGGGACAGGCATGCAGATCGTGAATTCTAACTTTCTAGTCTGCATGCATGTTTCAGATCTGGGATTCAAGAAAGTATCGAAACCAGAGACGGTCAGGCAACTACTATTTTTAGAAGGTCAGCACTGGCAGCCCCATATTTCTCTCGATATAGGTTTGCTATAAGACAAAATGTTAATAGTGTGCTTGTTACGGCTGACAATATTTAATTCCTCATATAGTCATAGAGTTTAATTCCAGGCTAATTAGTTTGAGTCAATGCTTTACCTGCATTAATCTAGTCACAGTATCTATATCATTTTATGTGTCATTAATTAAAGGTATAACCTGGCAACCATACCCTTATTAGACCAATGCAATATTAGTGTCCCCAGTTCAACTAGACTGTTCATGCACAATGGATAGTAAATGCATAGGTATAGATAAGAAATATATCATTCACTTTAGTTTCTTGTTGTTGATTTTGGTATTTGAGAACTAATATCTGAACTTCTAGAGGACTTTTCCTAGTTTATTACGGTCAGGCTTTATATAAATGAGCACTTCTTTAAGATTTACCCAAACACATGCCAACAGCTAAAGCAATGAGCACTCTGCCCTGCTAGTGTATTGCCTTTTTGTCCCAGCATTCTTCATTCTCTGACAAGGGACAAGTGCCTGAGATGTCAGTTGTACAAATCAGAGTTAGAATTGATTATGGTTGGCCAAGTCACCTTTGATCTAAACATCTGTTGTCACAGTTGTACTAATTCATCAAAAGTGGACTTTTCCTTTAACACTTCACATTACGTTTGATTGTGTCACTGTGATTTTCTCAAGTCATATAAAAGAGCTATACACTTCACTCGCTCAGTCAAGTCAATGTAGTGTTATGGTGGTGTACCCACAGATGTTCATATCAAGCGTTTACCATACATATCAACAGATTTTTTTATATAGATAATTCCAAGCTATGGAATCATAGTATAGCCTAGAAAGCTGCCATGCTAAAATAGTGTAACAACACTTACAAGATACAAATAATAAAGTGCGCTGCGCTAAATTAATCACAAACATAACTTTGTGTGAACCCTCTATGCAATATTATCTATATTAAATATCATCCCAAAACATTTTCATAGGCAATAACAATATCTAGATCACAATTACATGATTATAAAAATAGAAATATTAATACTTCCTACCAATAAAATAGTCTCCAATCACAATAATTAAGAGGTCCTCGTTTCATGAACATATATTATAAAAAAGTTTTCTAAAGTGCATAGAAATAGTGCCCCAACAGTGATAATCAATATTAATCGATTAATATAAAAGTGTCCCAAACGTCATCCACATCAATAAATACATTCATTATAAGTGTTCCTTGTCATATATAATTGTCTCAATGTGATCCACAACAATAATCCAATCATATAACAGAGTCCCAAAAACTCCAATCAACCCATGTGTTGAGGATTAATAGTGCCACACAGTGAACAAAACACAGCTTCTTTCTACCACAGTCACCGGATCAATCTGTCCGTCTAATAATGGTCAAACAAAGCGAAATGAAATAACGCCCAGAACACAGATATTCCTTTCCTCCAGTCCCTCCGTTATCCTCTAGATCTAGACCAGTATCCTTGGTTTCAGGTCAAGTATCCACCGCACTCACCATCATATAGTTCCATGCAATAAAGAATGGGTCATAGTGCAGTAAAAATTGTAAAGATTTATTGAAGCAATAAAATGTTCAACTCACATGAAGATGTAAAACATGCCGGCAAACAAACGTCCGGGAGCTCGGGAACTGAGAAGGAAAGCACGCTATATTGTACCACACCAGTTTGAGTTGTTTGCCGTCATGGTTTATGTCTTTATGTGAGTATAATATTTTATTGCTTCAATAAATCCTTATGACTTTTACTGCAATATGAGCGATTGATTATTGTATGGGACCATTTGATAGTGTGTGTGGTGGATGCTGGACCCAAAACCAGGGATACTGGACCGCTGATTGAGATCTAGAGCAGTGGTTCTCAACCTGTGTAACCTCAGGACCAACATTTGTCCTTGGTCATTAAGTCGTGACCCAAGTCGCACTGCAATGGAACGCACGGCATTAGGGTACCGTGCATTCTGATGCAGGCGTGCAAACTGTGGGTGCAAGGTGCGTTTAGGGTACCATTTAAATAAATGGCAATGAAACACACCTCCCACACCAGAATGCATGGTAGGTGCGATTGCGCGGTACAGTGCATTAATCGCACGGTACTATGCGATTATTGCACTGTACCAGTGGCGGAGCTAAGGAACAAAGGGCCCTGGTGCAAGATTTTTTTTGGGCCCCCCCCCCCAAAAAAACCCCCACAAACACAGCGTTCTCCTTCATCTCCAAAACATTGTAATTTATTTTTTAAGGTTCACCCAGTCTCCCTACCTTATGAGAACTGGAGTGGATCCTCAGCCTGGGGTCCAGTGTGGGCTGATGTCTGTGACGGAGATTGTGGAGGAAAAGTGGAGTGACGAAAAGTGGAAGGCATGCGGCGACCCACTGAACACGGGGTCACGACCCAGCAGTTGAGAACCAAGGATCTACAGGATAACTAAGGGACTGGAGGAGAGGAATATCTGTGTTCTGAGGCAATATTTCATTTCGCTTTGTTTAACCATTATTAGACAGATTGATCTAGTGAGTGTGGTAGAAAGAAGCTGTTCCCTGGGAGTGGAAGAGTGACACTATTAATCCTCAATACATGGATTGATTGGAGTTTTTGGGACTCTGTTATATGATTGGATTATTGTTGTGGATCACATTGAGACACTTATATATGTACTGTTGGATACAGTTTTTATTAATGTATTTATTGTTGTGGATCGCATTTGGGACACTTTTATATTAATTGATTAATATTGATTTTCACTGTTATGGCACTATTTCTATGCACTTTAGAATACTTTTTTATAATATATGAAATTAGGACATAATCATTATTGTGATTGAACACTATTTTATTGGTAGGAAGTGTTAATGTTTCTATTTTTATAATTATGTAATTGTGATGTAGATATTGTTATTGCATATGAAATTTTTTGGGATGATATTTAATACAGATAATGTTCACACAAAGTTATTTTTGTGATTAATTTAGCGCAGCGCACTTTATTATTTATATGAACAGATTAGTAAGAACAGAAGCCACTGCTAATTAATTGTAAACAATAGACCAGTACTCTACAGAGTTTGAATGGTTTCTTGACAGAATTAATCATATTAAGTGACACATATTTCTCATAACCAACACACATCCTCTGATGGGAGCAATTTCTAAGAAACACAAAATATTTTTTTTCAGTATGTTTTTCATCATGCCTCACTGTATACAATTTTCTTAAACAAATCATTTGTTGTGAATCTGTTGCAAGTTTGTTACTTGAGGATCCTATTAGCCCTTCCTGTTGCAGGGTGACAATTTGAAGTAGTACTAAAGCCTCATTTTTTATAAAATTAGATCTATACATGTTAGTTGAGCAGAGGACAATAACTGTTTCATTCAGCCCCCTCTGGCTGGCGCCACTGCACATGCGTGCCCCTTCAATTCCACTGTGGCTGTTGCCACCCTGTATGCGCTCTCCATCGTGTCCTTTCAGGCTGGTGCCAGTGTCCACTCTAGCAACTGCCACCACACATGCTCCCCGTCCAGTACTCTCTGGCTAAATGTTCACCTCTATTGAAACTGGACTGGTTTAAAAGAGGTGTGAAAGAGGCCAATTATGTAAAAATGGAGAAGCCAAGCTTGAATAGAGGGCGGGGGGTTGAGACATCTATTGTCTGACAGATACAATGCTGTTTTAACACCTCTCTCTGGGCAGGTTATTAACACCTCTTAGCTCCAATTATGCAAATGCAATCAACACCTGGTTGTAAATAACAGATTATGTGGATTGGAGCACCGTTCACCATATTTATTCCCAAATAATTTTTTGTAAAAGTCATTCTGAATTGAGAAAGCTGGTTGGATGACCAGTGAAACGTGTTCAAGAAAAATACAGCAAGTCTAGTTGCCTTGACTTATTTTTTACAGATGTATACAGTGAGGAATGATAGCAAACATTCGGAAAAATAGATTTTGGGTTTACACACACTTTTTTTAAATTATTGACAAACATTACAATATAATGTAAAATAAAATATATTTTATACTAAATCCTACCACCTACAGTACCTCTCCTTCAGAGGAGAAAAAACTATAAGTTTCTGTAAAGAATCAGGACTTGCCCATTTGTATACAGCCTATACAGTCATATTTTACATTAGCACTGATCATAATTTACATAATTACAACTACACTTATGTAATGCAATATGTCATAGTGAAATTGCAATGCCATCATCATTAGAATCTAATACATCATTAGAATCTAAAGCATCATTAGCTTCCAGCTGCTGTAGCTTCTTCAGTGTTAATCTCTCCTTAGGTGACCTCAGAAACCTAAAACAAGAACACAGTTTCAAGAGCAATTATGATGAGTAAATGCATTGTAGTGCTAATTACAAGTCTATTAATCCTTAATCAGCCATTCCTACTTCACAGTTAACAGCAAAGTTGATGACTAGATCTAACTTTGCTGCATTTCTATATTTCATTGAATCAGAACCTCATGATTGGTTTCTGTGGGTAGGTTTAACTGGCTTCTACAGACAATTTTAACACTTTTAAGTCATAGAAAGTAGAATAAGGGCCTGTGTTAGATGGGTTTTACATTTCCATTCAAGTTCATGGGAATGCAAAACCTGCGTTAAGCTGGTCAAACATAGGTCAGAAGCATTTCAAGCTGATGCCATTGGCACAAACCAAGACCTATGCAAGCCCTTATTCTGCCTGGTAAGTTTTTTGATTATTTTATGCAGTAGTCCCGATCTATCAAAACTGGGAAAAAAGAAAAGCCACCAAATAATCAGGCTTCAACCTTTTATTTTTATACCTACACTAATTATTTTTAAACCCACACAAGTTTGTGCTGTTGAATATCCAATCAAATGAACAATCCATGTCCTTACTGTATTATATGCACTAATAGCGTATGTGTATGTAAACCATAAAATAATCTTACCCCCATCCACCTAAGAATGATTACAACTTTCTATGTATTTCCAGCAGCTTTGTAGGTATATTTCTGTATACAGTGTATACAGTCTTATTGGGCATTGCAGCAACATTTGGCAGAGCTGAGCCATGAAGTCAGGGAAAGTCTGACACCAGTGGCGATGTAAAACCAAATTAGAGAGGGACACAAAAGAGCCTTTTCTGGTAAAATTGAAAGTGCAACTGCTTTGGATGTTTTGGTTTTTTTTTAAACTTATTTGTATATCTTGTTTCTATGTATTTGAATCAATTATTTGTTTAGAAATCCATATTTATGTGGTACATTGAGCATTATGAGTTTTCTAAAGAGAGAGCACAGCAGACTCTGGCTTACTGACCCTTAGTTGGGAGCCGTCATAACAGCCAAACTATGAAGGGGAGGGAAAGAGAGGAGTCACTCCTCATTCAGCTGTGGGAATACATTTTGACTTGAGCTACTGAGCTCTGTTAACAAACAGGGTTGCATCAAAGCGGATAATGATAGTCAGAAAACATATTAAAATTAATCCAGGGATCTACTTGCAGGCTGAAAATGAGCACAAAAAAAGTAATATTTACTAATTTGACTTACACAATAACTAAGAGTATTTATTTTAAAAAAATTAAAACATTCTGTTTTGATCATATTAAATAAAGAAATAAAATATATACAAAACCATTACATAGTCCCACTAAAGAAGGTAGCAGCAGGTATCTTGTGATAAATTCACAACATTTACAGTTATACTGTTAAAATAGAGTACAGATTCACTTTAAGAATGCCTCATTAAGCTCATTGTGTCATTACTATCCCTACTATTACTATGGACATCACTGTAAACATATCCTATGTATTAGAATTGGTTTTCATTTATCTTCCTATATTATGTGTTCTTGTAATACCCTGTAACACATTGCCCTTTTTATTAGATTTGCAACTAATACGTTGAATGAAATACATGTTTTAAAAAGGTGAGATTCTGATGTTGCAATATTAAATGGTAAGCTTTGAATTTTCCTCTAGTTTTCATTGCTTGTAGTATAAGGCTAGAATAAGGCTGGCCATGCACTGTGCATTTTTTCACATTCACTCCCCCAGACTGAACAAGAAAAAACACTTGGTTCTCCCATCCACGCTAAAAAGCATAGATGGGTGAATCTTCCCTGCTGGGCTATTGTATTCTGACGCACTCATAAACAATGATTGCATCTGACTGGCTGCAGTCACTGTTTCCAGGGGCGTATCTGCCGGGAGGCAAACAAGGCGTTTACCTCGGGCGGCAGATTCCAGCCGAGCGGCGAATGTACCGGCCCGTGGCCCGCGAGCCGGTACTTTGTGGCCGGCAGCCAGCTCACAAGTCAGGTACGCGGTCGAGGACAGCGTACCTGACTTGCGAGAACAGCTACACAGTCTGCATCACTGTTGGATGCAGACCCTGTAGCTGATTCTGCGCCGGTACCCGGATCCTTTAGGCCAGCGCTCTTTCAGTGAACGCTGGCGGAAAGGATTGTGCAGGATCTATTGATGAGGTCTGCAGCAGACCTCATCAATCAATCGCCGACAGGCCGATTCCACAATTTCCAGCATGCCTCCTTTGACAAAATTAAATTTAATGATTGATTTTTGCCTATCTGAGGGGTGCTGGCAGAGCCATGCGAGCAGAGTATAGCCAGCTTAAGAATACAGTAGTTGATTTCCTGTTTTAATGCTGTGTAATATATTTTCTATATGATAAAGCATATGACTGTAACGTGAAAAACAAGTTTAATATTACCTAAATGTTAGTTTTTGTCCAGATTCTTTTTGTAAAAGATTGATTTTGTAATACTGTCTCATAGCTCTTGACATCTTCTCATAGGTCATGTTTGGGCGATTCTGCATGAAAACAGATTGAGGAGTTACACGGCAGAATGAGCTCCAGTAACTACAGTCTCTAAGTAACAATTATTTACTAACAACACAAAACTTACAAACATATTAGCGATATAGTTAAGCTGGCCATACACTGTACAAACGTATGATCGCATTCGTGTATTGTAATGTATTGTAATGTATTATTACAATACACTACCTTCAAACTGGTGAAATATATTAAGAATATTTGTTTTTAGCATTATTCGCCCAAAATAAAAGTTCACAGATATTCACAGGGAGAAGAGATCTAAATTTTTTTTTTTAAATAGACACCACAATGTATAGCCAGCTTTACTTTACAAGCAAACACTGACCATGTTTGAACAACCTGACAGCACATTGTAGGTCACAATATGGCGTCAACATAATGTGTAACTACAACAATCAATAATAAAGTCAGTGATATTCTCAGTGAGGCAAGACAGGTAAAAAGCCGATCTCTGTGCAAAAGGTTGATGACCAGAGGTTTATCCCACTCTGTTTGACCATACAGTATATGAATATTATTATTACCTATGAATGGTTTTAAACAGTGGTGCATCAGAACAATTGAAATCTTCCTTTTATTAAACAAAAAAGATCGTCAGCAAAGCTCTAGAATTGATCCAAATGGCTCACTGGAAGGTGGGAGCTCAAATGTTTTTTTCAAAACTGGCTAGAAAGACTAAAGGCCAAAGGGAATGACAGAGTCATAGACAAATAATATTTCCATGAGTGTACATAACAACAAGCACCTTGTGATTTCCCCACAGCGCAGCAAGTTTGTTTGGATCCATCACTCTGAACACTTTTAAGTCTTTGTTTTCCCATTTAATGTAGGGTTCATAGCGTTTGTCATCAAGTAGCTGGTACAAATAATCCCACAGTAGTCTGCAATCTAAATGTAAAAAGTAAAGACATATATTTCCTTTCAATGTACAAATAAGATCATTAGCAAGTAAAAGAAACATTAAATGAAAATTATTTTATCTGCATTAACTGAGGAACTTGGTTATTAGTACACTTATAGTTATTCATCTCCTAGGTTGTATCTGCTACTAAGGTGATAATGTAATACCATCTCTATGCCCAGCAAGCAAAAAATACGTTTTTATTAAGCATTTTGCTGTTGGATTTTTGTGTATTATTTTTCACACACACGATAAAACATTTTAGGCCTGAAAATTACTTTAAACCCCCACAATATTTTCTGAAAGCAGACAACCTGTAAAACAAAATGACGACTGTTGCGCATTTTTATGTGCAACATTTTTTACTGTAAATAAAATACACTCAAATGAATTATTCTTCTCAATCCGGCATGTGTGGCAATATCCAGTATTTGTTCCACTGCTTTAAAACACTTCTTTTTTTTTTTTATTTCCTCACTGATATTTCTCTTTAATGAGACATCTGTTGTTTATTAGACCCCTGTTGTCTCCCCTGCCCTCAACCCTAGGAGATTTAGCAAAAACTGTGCTTGATCTGCTTCTATACGTGTCCAGAGCCACCAGAGCTTTCCAGCTCTGAACCTGAAAATGCTCAGAGCATAGAAATTCTAGGTTCATTTCACTGGTGAATCAGTTAATTTTCCCCAGTGATTTTCACCAATTCTCTTCCACTGACCTTCCTGAGCAAATTGCACCAATCTCAGGCTCCCGGGATGTGCAGGAGCACCCGGAACCATGCAGGAAGGTCTTGAATGGGGAAAGGAAAACACATCACCACCCTGTAGAAGTGATGAGGTGGCTTTATAGCCATATACCATATGATTTCTACATTACAGCTGTACAATTTTAAAACATACTTATGGCTGGAATTACAACTGTAAACTTGTTGAAACCCTTTCAATGCAATTATCTGTGGGATATTTTATTGGCAGCAAAAGGGTTAAAGCCTGGTGCCAGCCAAAAGGTATTTTTTTCATTTGGATAGAGTGCGGAAGGGTTAGAAACTCTCTTACGTTTGTTTGTTTTTTTATTTTGATTTTGCAGTATTTGTCCTCATTGGATAGCTTTTTTTTTCTAATTTCCTGACCTAATGGCAGATAGCCAGAGGGTAATTCTCTCTAAGGCAAACAAAGACTGGAACAAAAATACATTTTAATATAGTGGGAGAAAGTTCAAATCTCGATCAAGTTTGTATTGCTGTCTGGATTTTCCCACACATACCGGCGTTCGCTCACCTCTAGATCCTGTCACGGCTCTCTGCCGTGACAGGGGATGGGCTGGATTCCCCCCTCCCCGCTCAGATCCGCCAGCGCTGACTGGCGGAACGGACGGGGGAGGGGGCGGGTACAGCTGGCTCTGCCCCTAGATAGGCAGAGCCAGCTGTCACTCACGCAGCTGGGTGGATCCCGGCACAATTGTCGGGATCCGCTTCAGCTGCGGTGTCTCAGTATACCGCGAGCAGCTGCTTGCGGTATACTGCGGCCTCTCAGTATACCGTGAGCTACAGCTCTCGGTATACTGAGCCTAGGGTGACGGGAGGACGCTAGTTTGTGTCCTCCAGTTACCCTAAGGAGAACTATGGGGAAAAGACTCAACCCCATAGTTCTCCTTTAACCGCTCCCCATGCTTTTCAAAGCTAAAAATTAAAAGAAAAATTGTCTGAAAACGGGCCGTAAGCAAAAAAAGAAGGATCATTAACAATTTCCAAGTTATGATAGCTATCTGTTTAGGTTTTTGATTCCCTTTTATTGCACTTTCGCAAATACATCCTATATGTTGTACCTTTTATTTTTCCGTCTACGCAGTCCCCATTTTTTGGAGATTCTTGTTCCTTCTGAGTTCTGGGAAGTCGCTGTGAAAGATTAAGTGGAGTATCTTGGTGGACACTGTCTGAGATACAGGTTTCTTTTGTCTTTGTATGGCATTGTGAAGTTTCTGCTGTTGAATAAACATAGCAAATATGTGCAGAAAGACAGGGTAATCTCCGTGAAGTATGTATACTTTTGTAGCCAACCAAAGCAAGTAAAGAAATGGTTCAAATTATACCCCCTTTAAATTATAAACTTTTTAATGAATTGGAGTTCATTTACAGTGCTGAAGAATTGGAGATTATTCACTTTGAAAAAATTATGAGTAAATAAAGTGAAGCTTTGTTTACTTTGATCATGTGCAAAGGAATTTAAAAAAACAGAATTTTTGCTTGACTGGCAATGAAAGTCAACACAGCTTCACCTTCTTCAATAAGTTACGTGAACATTCCATTTGCTAAGAAAACAGTCTACATATTACCCATACTCCATTGAGCCTTTAGTCTGCACTGCCACAGGTGGCCAAGTAGATGCCCTGGGTATGAATTCCCCATAATGGTCAGTTAAAGTGACACTAAACTCGGGAGTTAAACCTTAAAAATGCATCCAAGTACCTTAACTATTAACATAAATGTATCTTATTTGTGTATCACTTGGCTGTAGATCCTCAAATCATCTTTGAATTGGTGCTGACACTGTCCTTCCTTCTGGAGGGTGGCTACTTTTGTTCCCCATGGTCTCTGTGTGTTGTAAAGTAACCACCGCTTCAATCTCACTCCAGTGATAGACTACAATCTCAATACAAATCAATAAACTAAGCGTGAGATTGTAATCCATCATGGGAGTGAGCTTGGAACGGTGGCTACCTTAACACAGACACAGGGACCATGGGGAACAAAAGTAGATCTTACAAGATCTTACAATCAGGCTAGGTGAGGATGATGTCACTGAGCTTTCCAGTGAGATCCTGGAAAAACTGAGAATCCAAAATCTCACACAAAGACGCTACTTTAAGGGGATATTAAGGTGAAAATCACTTAGCCTCATAGTTCTAGGCGACCTGTGACAATGAAACTGTCACAGGTCGGCTCAATAGATCGGGAAGTGAGCGAACACATACCGTCGCTCGCTCACTTCTCGATCCTGTCCCTGCATAGAGCAGTGACTGTCACTCACGGCTCCCTGCAAGGATTCCCCCCTCCCTGCTCCGATCCTCCAGCGCTGACTGGCGGAACAGACGGGGGAGGGTACAGCTGGCTCTGCCTCTAAATAGGCAGAGCAAGCTGTCACTCACGCAGCTGGGTGGATCCAGAGAGTAATGTCGGGATCCTTTCCGACTGCGGCGTCTCAGTATACCGCAAGCTGTAGCTCGCGGTATACTGAGCTTTGGGTGACGGGAGGACGCTAGTTTGTGTCCTCCCGTTACCCTTAGAAGAACTATGGGGAAAAGCCCTGACCCCATAGTTCTCCTTTAATAAGAAGGTTTTCTATTGAAGGAGAATTATGAGGCAAGTGATTTTCACTCAGCCTCATAATCTGAGCTGACCTGTGACAATTAAACTGTCACAGGTTGGCTCAGTAGATCAGGAAGTGAGCAAACACATAACCCCAAAACATTCTTTAAATATATTAATAGTAAAAAAAAATCAGGTCTGAGCATGTTGGCCCCTTAAAAGATAACTCAGAGATGGTAACTGGGGACAAAGAAAAGGCAAATCTATTAAATACTTTCTTCAGCTCTGTGCACACCAAGGAACACGATTTAACTCAAGTCCATAATGGGGATGACAGCACCATAGCCTCTACTGAACTACAATGGTTGACTATTGATATGGTCCAGAAACAGTTAGACAAAATTAAGATGAACAAAGCACCTGGACCAGGCGGCTTACACCCACATATCCTCAAAGAATTGAACTGTGTCATTTCTAAGCCATTGTATTTAATTGTTAGAGACTCTCTAATGACTGGCTTGGTAAGGATGGATTGGAGCAAAGCCAATGTGATGCCTATATTTAAAAAGGGATCAAAGTCTTTACCAAGTATAGCACAACCATAGTCAGCACGGATTCACAAAAGACAGAAGTTGTCAAACAAACCTACTTTCTTTTTATGAGGAAGTGAGTAATAACTTGGACAGAGGAATTGCTGTGGATATCGTATACTTGGACTTTGCAAAAGCGTTTGACACCGTTCCCCACATGCGGCTAATGTATAAGTTAAGGTCTGTAGGTATAGAGAATTCAATCTGTAATTGGATAGAAAACTGGCTTAAAGACCGTATTCAGAGAGTGGTGATCAATGATTCATACTCTGAATGTCTGAAGTTGTTAGTGGTGTCCCCCAAGGTTCAGTGTTGGGCCCCTTACTGTTTATTCTATTTATAAATTACATAGAGTTGGGGATTTTAATTACCATTTCTGTGTTTGCAGATGACACCAAGTTATGTAGTGGAATACAGTCCTTACAGGATGTCTCCAACTTAGAGGCAGATCTGAATGCATTGTGTGATTAAGCATCTATTTGGCAAATGAGGTTTAATGTTGATAAATGTAAAGTTATGCATTTGCGGACTAAAAACATGCATGCTTCACTGCAAAGGACAAGGGGGCACTCTTTGCGTCTGGAGGAAAAGAGGTTTAACCGTTGCATACGGAAAGGATTATTCACAGTTAGAGCTGGGAAAATGTGGAATAGACTCCCCCAGGAACTAGTTCTAGCTAGCTCAGTTAACTGTTTAAAAAAACATCTGGATGTATTCTTAAATGCACAGAATATTACTGGATATTGAGTTCTTATAGGTATATTAGGCATCAGAGATTGTTGATCCAGGGAATATCTGATTGCCTTATGGGATCAGGAAGGAATTTTTTTCCCCTGTTGGAGCAAATTGAACCATGCTTTATAGGGTTTTTTTTGCCTTCCTCTGGATCAACAGTGGGTAAATGTGGGCATAGCGTTCTGTTTAGGTTTTTCTTCTCTTTTTTTTTTTCCATATCTCTATAGGTTGAACTCCATGGACATGTGTCTTTTTTCAACCTGACTAACTATGTAACTTCTCGATCTATCTGTGCAGAGAGCCGTGACTGTCACTTATGGCTCCCTGCAGGGATTCCCCCCCTCCCCTGTCCGATCCTACAGCGCTGACTGGCGGAACGGACAGGGGAGGGGGCGGGTACAGCTGGCTCTGCCTCTAGATAGGCAGAGCCAGTTGTCACTCACGAAGTTGCGTGGATCCAGACAGCATTGTCGGGATCCTTTCCGGCTGTGGCGTCTCAGTATACCGTGAGCTGTAGCTCGCAGTGTACTGAGCTACGGGTAACGGGAGGACAGGAGAACTATGGGGAAAAGCCCTAAACCCATAGTTCTCCTTTAAGAAGATATTTATCCAAAATGCTAAATCCTAAATAAAGCTTTCAGACATTTTCCTTCTAAATTTGTTCCAAAAGGTATTGTAAGGGTAACCAAAGTCAGGCATTTTTGGCATGGATGCATGCCGAACCAAAAGGAGCCAGCCAACCTATCCTCTTTGAAGACTCATACCCCATACAGCTTTTCTGTGCCCTGGAAAATAACTAAATCTTGCTGTAGGTAGACAGCAATGTCTGACATGATCTATTGCCCTTCAGTTTTCTATTCCTTGTGAAATGTGCACTTTAATGTATAATGCATCCTGTACCTAGCAAAAAGTAAACACTCAAAATATCCAATCCAATATCCAACTCACGTATACAGGTCCTCGTATGGAGGTGGTCATATCTTCTTATCGTCTGGCTGAAGTCTGGATGACTTGTGAGCCCCTGTCTGTGAGTCTTAATGCATCGTAGCAGTTCATACAAAACATCACCTAAAATGAAATAAAATATACATTTATAAACTGTACATTCATACATACAATTGAAGAGCCATAAAAGTAGAAATCCTTGACTATTTTGGCCTCGATAACAGTTGTCACATGTCACAGCAGTGATTTCACAACACATGATCTCTTTGATAAAGCTGACCACACAGTTATCAGGGCACCACGCAATTGTTTTAGTCTGGTCGGTGGAGGTTCAATTCTACAGGGTTTTTTTCAAGTTCATCCCACAGGCTACAAACCCTGTTTCTAATTTTGTGGTGGTGCAGTTACAGCCACTATTTATTGGGTCATACTCTTTTTTTTATATATATATATATATATAACATGACAGTGTAATGTTGATGCCCTTTAGCAAAATTCAATGTTTTTGGTGATAGGGGAAACACCTTATGTGTCCATCTGCTGTTTTATCCCATACTGCCTAGTGTGCATTGCATTCCTACATTTGCCTATTGTACTGTAGACTGCCTATTCTTTGTTATGACTGACCTGAGCCGTGTAAATCTTACCATGTTCATTCACCAAGGGGAGCCCCCCTTCACGTTGCAATGCAGACATTCGATGACGTGCTTTGTGCTCTACACCTTTCATACATGATAATATATCCTGCACACCTAAAGTTCGTGGCTAATGAGGAAACCTATAATTTTTGAGCCCCCCGCTCAGGCATTCTTGTGGCTGGAGAGACATGAAAGACAGCTCAGCCTCTCTTGAGATCTCCTCTCTTATTTTTTTTCCTCACTACTGTGTTCTGCTGGATCAGTAGGGGCCCTGGCCCATCACTCCCTGACCAGTGGGAGTTGTGTTAGCTCAAGTGATTGTGCCATGCTTTGACCTGAAGATGACCATATCTGACTGGAATGGCACTTGCCTGTCACAGGCATCCTCACTCGTTGCCACTTTGGACATCCTCTTTAGTTCCTGCAGGGAAATTCTATAGTTCGAGTTTGCTTTAGTTTGTTTTGAATGTTTGTGTTAATGGTCCTTCACAGCCATGCCTCCAGGCAGGGCTGCAGCTACCATGGGGCGAGTGAGGCACTCGCCTCAGGCACAGTTGAGAGGGGGTGCAGCCAGGGCCAGCCTGGCTGCGCCCCCTCGCCCCTGTTGCCATGGCAAGCACAGGCTCCAACACAGCCGTGGCTCGTCAGAGAAAGAGGGGCGGCACAGGCTCCAGCTTCTCCTCGGATCCCCACTGCTCTCCCCTGCCTGTATGGACAGAGGCAGTGGGGATACAATGAGAAATGGAACGCTGAAGCCAGTGGGGTGGCGGAAGAGGGAGCTGTCACTCAGGGCGGCCTTGCGGTGAGGAGAGAGAGAGCCGCTGGGCCAGGATCTGACAGCCGGCGGATCTTTCTTTTCTCACTGCTCGACCATCCTGAAGTGACATAGCTAAAAATAAATAAAGCCCTCCCACCCCACTCACAGATTCATGCACACATATTATTAGACATGTGCAAAGAAATTTGTTTCAGACTAAATGAACAGAAACTTAAAATGTTTTCATTAGTTTTGTCAAACGAAACACATTTTTATGCTATTTTGGATCCTGGAGGCGGGGCACATGACGCAACACGATAAGGTGCTTGTGCGGCGTGAGGTGACATTGCATGTCTGTTGGGGGCACAACTTTCTGCTCTTGCCTCGGGCGCAAAGGGAGCTAGCTACGGCTCTGCCTCCAGGTACTAGACATGCATACACATCACACTGTACTAAGTGTACTCACTTATGTTATAATAGGTAACTGAAATCTGTTCAGCCAGAAAGACCTATGGCCATAATAGTGGCAAAGGAGCCTAAATGGTGCAAATTAAAATTCAGTCTCAAAATAATGCATGATGTCTTTGACAATGGGTGGCATATTCACTCATAGTGGGATAAAGGTTATTTTACAGCTCTAAAGTGATTGCTCATGAAAACCCCAAAAATCAATATTTATTTGCATGTTTTAATTATAAAATTAAATATTTTTTTCTAGTAGCCATGCAAAAAGTACTAGCCATGCAAAAGTACTAGCCATGCAAAAATACTAGCCTCCAAAAAGTGCTGAAAAAGTGTAGATACTATACTATTTTGCATGTGATACGGAGAAAGTCAGTGAACATCCTCTGGGCCTTTACCTGAACTTGGTGAGCGGGATTTAAAATCATCTTTAGTAAGAATGCACAGGGCTCTTCCATTCAGTATAAACTTGCTGTCATCTGTTTTACTGAGAGAGTATTCTTCTTCTGCCCATCTTAGCCAGTGGATGACATCCTCCTTACTCCACAGGGATGGATGGATTCCTGAAAAACAGCGTATGACTTAGTAAACTGTTTGGGCCAAATCGGCTACACTTTCAGATAGTAAATTAATAGGCTTTTGGCAAAATCTGCCAGATTATATAATTGCACATATCAGGAAGTAATACTGTATGTATACTACAAGCATTGGTATTGCATGTGTGGTTTGTGTCTGTTTTCCTTTTTTTGGAATCTGTTGTAAAAGTTATAATTTGACCTGCAGTTAGATTTGGTGTGTTCAGGTCCTTTTTTTCAAATCTCAACAATTACTGTATAGACACATTATGAATATTAATAATATGCACAAGCATGTGCATCATAACAGTAACCAATCAGAAATAATTTTGGTCAGTTTAGCTGAAATGTTTAAAGCATTTCATACAGCATTTCACTAACTAGAACTCTTTTTATATATATA